GAGTTCGGATCGTACAATTAGTGAGGCTATAATATTCACTAATAGATAACTCAGTGTGGATTAAACCGTATTTAATTCGTATTTATTTGTACATTACAAATGAGCGTACTTCATGATGTCTGTCATGATTTTTCACTTAGTGAAATTGCGAAATTCCAGTTGACTGAAATTCATCTGTAATAAGCCTCAACAACCGCAGTCGTGGCAAAATAATCAAACTGAAATCTCAAAAGGGGACACCACAAACATACACTTGCCGAAATTGCATGGCCCCCTTGGAGTTTCGCTTGTACCCCCAGGAAATCCGCAACTAATTTACTTGCTGCGGTTTTTCCTTCACTAATTGTGACAACTAATTGAAATCAAATTAGTGAAGCCACTAAACAGCTTAATGCTCGCTGAGCACGAACCAGATTTTCCACCTCGGCGATGGGAAAATTCGGGGAAGCGGGTGGCCAATGGGTTAACCATAAACCCCACACAATGCTAATTGTTTTCATTCAATTTACTGTCTGCACGCCGCTTTAAAATATCGCTCTTGGCTTCAGTTTTGGCTAACCATAAATTTTCGTCATGGACATCAAAGCGTATACGCAATATGGGTGCGCCAGTGCGTGTGTGTGTGCGTGTGGCATGTCCTGTTTGCAAGAATGTGTGGTGGGTAGTGTGGGTGTGCAGACATGCGTGAATAGACAAACATGCCTTTGTCAATAATATGCATTAATTAAGTGCAGACATGGATGCCAGAGGAATCAAACCAAGGATATCCGAGGTGCATCAATGGATGCCCAATCCCGCGCCACAGGACACACAGACATACGTGCATACGTACATACGGACACACTGACACGCAGAACTCACCACCAACAACACTGCGCATTGCAAATTTAATTGAAAATATCGAATAATGCGAAAATGCAAATGTCATTATCAAAATTCAGGCCGGCGGAAGTGTCACATGCGCTGAAAAGAAGTTTCAAGATTCAATTTCCGTTTCCGCACACATGACGTGCATCGCAGCAGGTGGGTATTAGGGCGTGGCCAGAGGGGGCGTGGCAGAGGGGGCGGACGAGTGCACCGCCGCACAGCATCCCAGTTATTTATGCCTCCTTTCGAGTCCTTTTTTAGCAGCTCCGTAAATAGTTGCGCAACTGACACGACGCCATCCACGTCTATGAGGCCATTGCATCGGCACCCCGCTGAATCCCCATTTAGCCAGAGAGCAGCTCCAGCACGCACTTGTGCAGGAGTGGGTTCTGTTCCGGCACATAAACACTGAGCGAAATCGTGGCTAACAACCAATTAACATCAACCAATCAAAAGGATGCCTAGCAAAAAGTGGTTAAGAAAAATGCAGTTCAAGGATGATTTTTTGCTTTAAAGTCGCGGGAAGGTGGCATGGCATACTTGCATTTTCTCACAGTGCATCACATTTGGGTAGGCTCGATGAGGCATTGGTCTGGGAGTACCGCCTGTCCGGAATCCACAGTCCGAGTCCGGAACCCGGACACGCACTCAGCGTGTGTGCACATTGAAGTGGACCATCGTTTGTCACTCGAGGTGGGTGTGGAAGTGGGTGCGGCAGGGGAAGTGGGTGAGGACACGGGCACAGTGGGGCAAAAAAGAGGTGGAGAGGTGTTGGCCATGCAGAAAGAGACTCGCCAAGTGGCTGGGAATTTTAAAGCACTCTTCGGCTGAGCAAATACGATAGCGGTGTGTGAGTCAAAGGGCACAGAAGACCAGTTCCTTGTTGATTCAAATTAGACCGATCCATCTGGCGGCACCACCACTCGGCTTGACCCACTGTGAATCTGAATGTGAGTGTGGCTGTGGCTGTGGTTGTGGTGCAGGCTCTGGATGTGGCCGTATTCCTTGTTGACTCCTGGCGGCGGCGGGGCTAATGGAGTTTGCAAGAAGTGGGCAAAAATGTGGATCAAGCAGCCGTACATGCACACAAAGACCCACCAATCTTGGTTCTGCATTCTCCGGCGCTCCTTCCTTGCGGGAGAAATGCGAGCAACTTTGCAAATTGTTGCCGCCACCCAAATCCCTGCCTGCATATCGCCACTGCCCCACTTCCTTGGACACACCGCTGCTGCATGAGGTTGCCAAGTTGCTCCACAGGAAAAATATTTACCACAACTTTAGAGGCACTACAAAAATTCTGAGGATTGCATCTCAATTAACTGAAGTGCTGTTTGGCTATAAAAAAAAACTAGTTTCAGACTTAAGCTTATTAAAAACCAAAAACAAATGAAAACAAATTTTGTAGCAGACTTTGAAAAAATTCCTCCTAATAAAGTTTTCCCTAATAGTGTTTATTGCACAAGCAACTTTTCAAAAATCTATATAAACTAGGGTAAAAGTGCTGAATGCAAAATCGTAATATTTTTTTTTTGAGTGCAGATCTGGGAGCGGGCTTACCACATGGACACCAGTGGGTCGACCGGCCTCGGGCCGTGAGTCTTTCATCAGCCGGAGCAAAAGAGCCGGAGCCAAGACCGAAACCGAAACCCGGAGTGGAATTTCATGGAGATGGGGTGCTGCTTTGTTTATGTGGCTCCATTTGGGCATATGCATGACCCACTCAACCACCCATCAGTGGCACCCACCACCATCCTGTGGTTGCTGCTGTTGTTGGGCTGGGGCCTCAAGCTCCACGTGAGAGTGGTTTTAGTGTTGTTCTGGATTCGCGTACCTCCTAGTTGCAAAGCGAAAGGGGATAGTCATTTTATGAATATGTAGGGGCACTAATTACCAAACTAAAGGCTAAAAATCTATATTACATTATGGATTAAATCGAAGAGGAATATTGTCTAAAAATGCATTTTAAGATATTATAAATAATAAATTAGTTATTACTTAATCTCAGACATTTAGGTACGCACTACATTAAGTCGCAGAGCAGAGACTACAGGGTATCATTGAGTCGCAGACCTCGGCTTAAGCGCTCTATCTTGTTCTGGATTTTTAAGTTGTTTTCGTTGTCGTAGCTTGTTTGTGTTGCCTTTTTTGTTGTCCTGTGTGCGAGGTTTTGCCTTTTTCCTGTGTGTTGCATCCTCGTCTTTAGTTGCAATTTGAGCACAGACACAGAAGCAGCCAGGATTGCACTTGGCCAACACACACGCACACAGTCACACTCGCTCACACTCACACTCACAGTCACAGTGAAATGCTGACACCAATTAGGCTGCAGGTTGTTGGTGTTGCTGCTGCCATTAGTTGCTGTTGGTAGTTAGTTAGTTCGGTTGCACTTTGTGCGTTGCATGTTTACAGTGGCCACAAAACATAATTTCTGTTTAGACAACTTTAGCCCCAGCTCCAATTGCATTGGCTTCTGGCAAAAAGCTTTGCGAAAAGGGGTGGAAAAATACAAAAGCGGAAAAGAGCGGAAAACAAAACAGGGTCATAATTATTGCGCCAACAAAGACAGCAAAGCAGCTGCAACATCGGCCGGCGGTAAACGATGTTGCCAGCTGAATTTTTGGTATAATTTTCACTTTGGCCAAGAAACTTTTTCGCTGCCGCATTGAATTTGCAACCAGCGAGCAGCTAAAGCCCGACCAAAAGCAACAGCAACAAAGTTCATGAGTTGATTAGAAAGTTTTTTAACCGCTGTTGCAGCTACATCCTTAACCCGCTGAAATCCTACAGCCATGCCCCCCAGCACATCCTGCACTCAGATAAACTACTATGGCTTTCACCAAGTACAAGGCGTTTTCCACTACTAATATATAAATATGTTGTTCAATATTCGGTAACCAAATACTCTTTACTCTCATCGTTGTGCTGGGGAATTTCTTTAAGTGAGCCGTTGCTAATGGCAGCTCGTGAGCTTGGCATATGCGAAAAGACCTCAATCAGCGGCTTAGGCTCCCAACGCCGCACTGCATGCTATATGCCACATGCCACATGCCACATGGGTAGTACGAGCTGGTTGCCGGGGCTGGTGGCTTATCGCTTGGCTGCTTTGTCGCCGGGCAGGGGCATAAACTATGCGAGCATCAACTTTTTGTAATTAATTTTTAATGTGTGCAAAATGTTTGAGTAAACGAGCATGTTGTTGTTTGCCGAGCCCCGGTATATCAAGCGGATGTCGTTAGAACGGTTTATCAAGCGCTCTAAGAGGCGGATAAACTGCGGCTTCGGTGGGGTTTGGGGGGTGGGGGGTTCTACTATATACTATTTAAGTTTGTGCTTAGCTGGCGTAAATAATTGGATTGCGCTTAAAACGGGCGGTTGCGAGAAGCCAAGACTGCCAGGCTTCTGGTTATTCAAACGGAATTTCTTTGCACTAATTGCATATGACAATGCTGAAAAACATCCATACATCCCCACCTGACGCCCCAAAAACCCCTCCTAACACCCATCGAACACCCATCTAGTGTGCGAGCGAGAGGAAAGAAGGAGCAACGCAGACCGCATGACGAGAATTGGCAACTTGCTGCAATTTGCCAGAACCAAAAATTGATTTACCCTCAACTGCAAGTCTTCCCGCCTTCACACAGTTTCCAAGGCACTTGGAAAAATGTTGTGTTGCTTTTAGCAGCGATGTTTGCTGGCAAGCTGCAAACTCAAACTTTAAAATTTAGCACAATTTGCATCACTGGCCAGCTTGCGTATTTTGCCGAGTTGGCATCATTGACTACCGGGCATATTTGGCATCATTCCTTGTATCCGTTCAGACTTTTAAGCTATTTGCCATACGCAATATTTAAGGATTACTTTAAGTGTTGAAACGCCACAATGTGATTATTAGAATTTTAGAGTGCCAATAATTGGCAACTTTGACAGTCGTTTCAATTTGACATCATGCACTGAAATGCCAAACAGTAGAGTGGTTTTTCTCCCAGTGTTCAGCCCGACTCGCATCCATCCATCAGATAAACGTTTTGCTATCTGCAATCTGCGAATCGCATTTTGTCTCTTTGTCCACGCCATCCGCATCCACTCACGCTGTGTCCGTTGTTCTTGTTGGTTTCCCGGCAACATTTTTGCAGAGATTTGCGTTTCAATCACATCGAGGTGCTGCCGGCCAACGCGTTCAGCGGTCTCGTCCAGCTGACTACGCTTTTCCTGAACGAGAACGAGCTGGCTTACCTGCAGGATGGGGCTCTCAATGGACTGCCGGCGCTGAGGTTCCTCTATCTGAACAATAATCGGCTAAGCCGCTTACCGGCGGACATCTTCCAGCAAATGCCACGCCTGGAGGCGATGTAAGTGAACCCTCCTTAATTAAGGATCCCCTCGAGCAATCGCCTTACCTAATATCCTTCCTTCTCCTGTCGCCGCCTACTGCAGTTTCCTGGAGAACAATGACATTTGGCAGCTGCCCGCCGGGCTCTTTGACAACTTGCCGCGCCTGAACCGCCTGTAAGTCGATGATGGTTCGATTCCCCTTTTTTTTTTCCTTTGAGTGAACCTCTCACTAACTTTCTGCACTGCCCTGCCCTCCGTCCAGGAACATGTACAACAACAAGCTGGCCGAACTGCCAGTAGACGGATTTAATCGGCTGAACAACCTGAAGCGCCTGCGACTGGACGGCAACCCCATCGACTGCAATTGTGGCATCTACTCGCTGTGGCGCCGCTGGCACCTGGATCTGAAGCGCCAGCTGGTGTCCATCTCGCTCACCTGTGCCGCTCCCCAGCAGCTCGAAAAGCAGGGCTTTTCCAGCCTGCGAGAGCAACACTTCAAATGCGGTACATTTACATTTCCATTTCCATTTAAGTAACACATAGAACATGAAGCAACTTAATGTTTAAGTGCACTTTTCATCAATTTGAAAGAAACACGATTGAAAGCACGATTTCTGATGTGCGGCACAGCTGCATTTTAATACCGAATTGATGGCCACTCTACTTGAAATTACTTGCAGCCAAGCCGCAGTTCCTGGTGGCACCACAAGACGCCCAAGCCGTTGCCGGGGAGCAGGTGGAGCTGAGCTGCGATGTCACCGGCCTGCCCCGCCCCCAGGTCACGTGGATGCACAACACGCAGGAGGTGGGCCTGGAGGAGTCGACGGGGGCGGAGATCCTGCCCAGCGGCAGTCTGCTCATCCGCAGCGCGGACCCCAGCGACATGGGCATCTACCAGTGCATCGCGCGCAACGAGATGGGTGAACTGCATTCCCAGCCCGTTCGCCTGGTAGTTAATGGCGGTAACCACCCACTCGATTCGCCACTCGACGCCCGCAGCAATCAGGTGTGGGCGGATGCCGGAACATCCACGCACGGAGCAACGACTGTGCCCTCGCCATCGCCATCGCAACCGCACTTTACACACCAGCCGCACGACCAAATTGTGGCCCTTCACGGCTCTGGACACGTGCTGCTCGATTGCGCCGCCTCCGGCTGGCCACAGCCGGACATACAATGGTTCGTCAATGGCCGCCAACTCCTGCAGTCGACCCCCAGCCTCCAGCTCCAGGCCAATGGCAGCCTCATCCTGCTGCAGCCCACCCAGCTATCAGCCGGCACGTATCGCTGCGAGGCTCGCAATTCTTTGGGCAGTGTCCAGGCCACCGCCCGCATCGAAGTGAAGGGTGAGTAAGTGCCAGAGATGCTCCATGCTGAGTGGGAATTCCCTTCCAATCGAGGTACAGAAGTACCATAAAGGGGTCTAAAGGTATGCCCCTATATATGACTGTGTTCATCTCAAAAGAACAAAATACTGTTGGACACCTTTATAAATTAAAACTTTGGTATAAAGTATTTACGGAAGTGTGCACCCAAGTACTGAGCATCTCTGGAACAAGCCTGGTGCAGCATCCACATAGGGTCCCTTTTCAGGCCACACTCCATGGCCCTGTGACTGCCACACAGTTGCAGCAGGAATAAGAGTCACAACTGTCGCGTTTTACTCAATTTGCAGTCGATTTAATTTGTTTTCGTCTGGGAAAAGGGCAAATGGGGAGTGGCGTTTGAGACTGACCAGGATGCTGGCCAGGCCAACTGAACTGATATCATCGGGGCATTGGGACTTTGCAGATGAGTTTGGCCTCCGGGCAAAGGAGCCCACTGTCCGTTAGAAATATTGCGACAACTTTGACAGCAGGTGGTGCCGGTAATTGGATGCAACTTCATGTAGACAAATCAAATCACAAAAGTTTGTGTTTTTGCAATCGGCAAATTTGGCAATTTGGCAAGCAAAAAAATGGGTGTTCTTTTTTTTCTACAAAATATTTTTTCGGTAGAAAAGTTGTCCGTAATATTTTCAATGATTTACAGAAAAAATTTGATTTTTAAAATTGTGCTGAAAATAAATCCCACAACTTATCCAGCTTGGCTTGCTGTGGTTTTAAGCCCTCTACGGTTTTTTTCCAGTGCAGTGAGGTTATGCGGTGTAAGTAAATGGTTCTGGGTTTGATTGGCGCCCATTAAGCGCTCTCGCTTCGTAGCTTCTTGCCCATTAAATAAGCGATGAAGTGCATCCCGGCAGGAGGTTAAGCCCGAAAACAACTTGGCACTTGAGCTTTTTATGTTTTTCCATTCGTTATTGCCGTATTTCGAGCGCTTGTACGTGACTGTACTTTATTGCGCAATAGAAACGGCCAACGGGGAGTGAAATTTATAAATATATCCCCCGGGGAATGGGGATCACAGACGGCGAAAAGTGCATCCATCCACCGCCTTGATGCAGCACAATGGCTCATTATAATTTGTGGTTGTCGGCACAAAATGAAGTGCGAAATTTATGCATTATTTTGCTGAATTAAGTGCAAAAATTATAAACTATTATGTGCGGCGAGGGCACGCACAAATTGCGCGCTGTGGCTTTAAAAATGTGGAGTGGGGCTTAGGGGATCACGGCTACCACGGGGCGGATGAACTGTTTAAGCAGTCAGGCATGGCGCCTGGTCAGCATAATTAACCCGCCAAACGCATAAACAGACACGGGCAAACACTCGAACAAACACAAACATTCGTACACAAGTAAATATGGCGGCCGCGCTGAAAAGTATGCAGCGAAAAGTTCATATTTCATATTACGCATACGCCCCATGGGCATCGACCAACGCACAGTGGTGTTGGGAACGGCAACAAGTGCGGATTGGGTGGATTAGGATATGTTTTGTACGGCGGTTTTAAGCAATGTGGATTATAAATATAGTTTGTTTGGGACATACTACTTATACTTTAAAAATGTATATACATTTAGCTTGCATATCAGATTTTGCACATGAATTCCCACGGCACGGCGCTTAAAGCGGGTCAAAATGCGAGAGAGGTGGGGGAGGTGGGCATTGGGGGTTGGTGGTGCTGCGGCAACAAAAGACTCATAGAAACCGAACCAAAAAGCCAGGCCTCGCTTTAGTCGCTTGTTGCTGCCATTTGGAGCAGTAAAATTGCTCGAAAATCACTCATTCGCCCCGTTGCACCGCTTGCCACTCTTGCAGAACTGCCCGAAATTTTAACGGCACCGCAAAGCCAAACAATCAAACTTGGCAAGGCCTTTGTGCTGGAGTGTGATGCCGATGGCAACCCGCTGCCCACCATCGACTGGCAGTTCAATGGAGTCCCACTGCCCGGAAATACGCCCGACTTGCAGCTGGAGAACGAGAATACCGAGCTGCTGGTGGGCGCTGCCCGGCAGGAGCATGCCGGTAAGTGGGCGAAGTGATTGCCAAAACGGTTTACATTGCATTTCATTCGATACCTTGGACATAATCCCGTGAATCCTGCCCATTCTGCTCCTCCTCTCCATCCTCTGCAGGTGTCTATCGCTGCACGGCGCGCAACGAAAATGGGGAGACGAGCGTGGAGGCCACCATCAAAGTGGAACGGTCGCAGTCGCCACCGCAACTCGCCATCGAGCCGAGCAATTTGATGGCCATTACGGGCACCACCATCGAGCTGCCCTGCCAGGTCGACCAGCCGGAGGACGGACTGCAGGTAAACTCACTTACCGCGATTGGCCACGGAATCGGAAACTTTTTATTTACCCGCCACTTGTTGACGTTCCCTTTTGGCCTCGTTTTCCGCTTGGCCACCGCAAAAAATGTACCCAAAAATGGCATTCATTTCGGTTTCATAGTTAGTTTTTGAAGAAAGCACAAATTATATTATAGGTGTCTATAATATAATTCCTATATTATTTGAAAACCCACGGTGCCTTTCCCCTTGCAAAATGAAAAATGTTTAAATTGAAATTGCAATATAAAATATATATAACCTTTTTTTCCACTGCAACTCCCCAGATTACGTGGCGCCACGATGGCCGGCTCATTGATCCGAATGTACAGCTGACGGAGAAATATCAAATAAGCGGCGCCGGCAGTCTGTTCGTCAAGAATGTGACCATCCCGGATGGCGGACGGTACGAGTGTCAGCTGAAGAACCAATTTGGCCGGGTTTCCGCCTCCGCACTGGTTACCATCAGGTGAGCGAACGCGGGATACCGAATCAAAATCAAATACCTCAACTTTGGGCGCCGGCCGCAACTTTAATTGCGCTGTCGGCGGCGTGAAGGGCGGATTGCATAAAACTCCATTAAAATCAAAGGGAAAACTTTTGCTCAAAGGCGAAAGAACTGGGGAAGCTGGCAAGAAAAGGCCTCTGCCCACAGAGGATGCACTTAAAATGCGTTTAAGTGCGCGGTAAAGTTGCTTAATTAATTGAAAAACAGTTGAGCTGCAGAAGAACTGAACATTAAGTTAACGATGCAGCGATGCCGGAAAGAAGTTGGCGTATATCTTGACATTTTTATGCAACGAGCTTGGTAAAGTCACTTTAAAAAGCCTGCAGGTAGCGCACTTCATCAAGAATTTCAAATTGTGTTTAATGAAATCAAAATGCTTTACAATTATTGCCAGCAGACTTGAACTCCGCGCGCCTGAAATGATTTTCGAGGCCTTGCGGAGTTTAGCTGAACTAAATTGCTTGGAAACCACTGCCGTCAACTATGAAAAGAACATAAAACCATCAAATAAAGCTGCTGGCTAAACTGCAGCACAGTGGCCAGAAAACGAGTGAAAATTCTGAAAAATCTAGGGGATAAACATCAAACTCCGACTGGCTGTTATCAAAAGCAGTTAGCAGCTGCGCAAACTTGCTAATCCTCTCCAGTTGCCAAGCCACTGGGATCCACTGTGTTGTTAGCTAAACTGCAAATAAAATATGCACCCAGGCTCCAACTGCAACATGAACATCAAAAGGCGGCGGAGGAAAGTACAAAAGTTGTCGCCGCCATCGTCAGTTGCTAGTTGCCAGTTTTCAGTTACCAGCTTTCTGTTGCCAGTTGCCAAACTGGAAGACGTGCTAAGCCCGGAAAAGCTACGTGCCACACTCACACTTACATGCCATCGGATTCGGTCGGGAAAATGGGAAAATGAGAAGACACAGGCAGTGGAAATTCCTCACTGAAGCAACCGCACAAGTTATCCAAATTGCCCAAATTGAAATTGAGTTGACAAGTTGCTGGCTGCGACAAGAAAAAAAAGGGTTACACACTAAATTAAAAGTGTGTTTTCTTTGATGAGAAATGTAGAGCGGAATAATAAATTTAAGAATTAGTATTCCTATGGCTGTATTACATGAAGATATTCCAAAGCTGGATCTAGAATAAATAGGTTTCTTTAGAACAATTTGTATGCTATGAACCTAAATATTTATAAATCGAACTATTTATCTGCTCTTGAAACTCAGCTACTTATTATTGGAATTGCATATGCATTTTGCTTATTTTCTAAAGGTGCACAAAAACTAGATCTTGTACCTCAACTTTTGCACTCCTTTTGGGGCCTTAGAAGTTTTCAAATTGTTTGTTCCGAGAAAAAAGGGACACGACGTGAATTTATTGAGCAAATGGTCTCTGCATCCATCCGCCACAAGCCGTAAATCAATTTGAGGCGACAAAAACGGAGCCGTGGATGCGGACTTGGCCATTAACCACCGACTGGCGAACTGGAGACCAATGATGGGCCACCAAAGAACCGCCGGAGCGGCTTACTTTCTGCTTACACAGCCATTTTCCTGATGCATAATGCAGCAGAAAAGCGGGTGAATGCTGGCGGGAGTCTGTGGATTTCCATGTGTGGCTCGGAGCACGGAGCACGGAGCATTTAATGCCAGGGACGAGGGCACGGTAGCTGAATCGGCTTACAGTTCTGTGCCGGCAGCATTAGAAACTTTACTCATTACGCCGGGTTTTCCCCGTTTTCCCAGTCGCCAGACCGCAGCAAAGCAGCGGGGGCGGAAAATTATAAAGAAAAAATCCAGAAAATGGGTGCGAGAAAGCCGGGCGCCAAAAGTGAAAAACTATGTTGGAAGAATGCAGGAGTCGCAGGGATCCAGCAGCAGCTATCCTGCCTCATAAAGAGTGTGGGTGAAAACCGCTGAAAGACCCCGGCGTAACCAGTGCAACAAAAATAGCAAAAATAACAAAAACTACCAAAACACCCAGAAATCCGCCTAAGTTGTGGGTAATGCTGGGCGTAAAACAAAAGCTTATCCTGTTACGGCCACTTTTGTTGTTGGCGCTCCTTGCGCAGCCACTGCTCCTGTGATCCTGCTGCTGGCAAAAAGGCTAACCACGGAAATACATTGCCGTGCGCCACAGCATGTGGCAAGTGAGGAGTGAGTCGAACGGCAGCCGGGACCAACAGAGCAAATTTACACCAAATGGGGCAGCCGCAAGTGGTGACTGCAGGTATACCCTTACTACATGATTTATAATAAATTACTTTCAAAGATAAACACTATAGTTCACTCTACAAAGATAGCAAGTTGAATTTATAGGCAAGGCACTGACTTGAAAATATTATTATCTGGCCTTTCTAAATTCCAACAACTTAATTATAATCCTGAAACAATATTAAATGAGTATAATTTACAAATATGAGAAGTGTGCTTTCCAATTTTAAATCATTGTTAAAATCTGGCTAATAAGTTTCCTGCCAGTCTCCTTGTACGTTTTTTTCTTTCGCGCACTTTGCGGAAACAATGAATTTGTATTAAATTTAATTGAGTAAACTATTACTTGCGAAGAATAACAAACAAGTAAAATTAATACGTTTTGCCAGAGATAACGTTTATAATTCCCTTGAGGTACCGCTAACCTACGAACTTTTTCACTATGGCTTTCCCACTTTTAAACACACTTTGAGGCACCTCGAAAAGATCCATATCTGCTGAAATAATTGTCCGAGTGATGCGGCAACTTTCGCCAAAAACTATCAATGTCCAAAATACCGTGGCCAATTGTCAGCTATAGAACAACGAACACCCCGTCGAGTCGCCCGGAGAAAAGGACACTGCCAGGGGGCAGCCACAGGATGGCAGCGTGGAAATATGTAGTCCTTGGCGCCGCAATATCCACTGACTGGAGCCGGAGCACCAGGACCAGGACCAGCAGCAGTGGCAGTGGCAGCTGGCAACTGGCAACCGATAGTGGCAGAGTCTGGTGCAACAGGGTGTATTATGGTCGTTAAGTTATTACCTACAGCAGCGCCGTCGCCACACAATGCCAAAGTTTACACAGTCGAAAGTTTCCTAAAGGAGCATTCCTTGCCAGCAGAATGCCAGGCATGAATTGTTGTTAATGCTGCCCCCCATTCAGCTCCTCCATTCAGATTCAAGGAAGGCGAAAAGCAAGGCGCGGATTTTTCCTATGACTTTTCCTATGCGCTGCAAAAAGAATGCAGCATAATTTTGTGGGTAAGACAGGCGCAGAAAGGGGAAATGGACTGCCCGGCATTTTTATTAGACAGCGCGGCCATTTGGGCGACTCCTGCCACGGGCATTATGGTAATTAAAATGTGCAAATTCCCTGGGATATCTTGATTGTTTCTGCGCTTTGTGTTCTTTATGTGCGTGTCAACTTTGCCTCCAGGCATTTAATAAAGATTAATACAAAAACTAAATAGAATGCTATAGTCGAATTCCATGACTATCAAATACCCGTTACTCAGCTACCACCAAAAATTTTAAAAAATTAATTTCTTAATTTGAATGCAGATTTTTAGAGAATTGCGCCAGAAAAATTTTAAGGTATGCCACTTCAAAATCCGATTAAGATAAGTTGAGTTATGGAGATTAAGATCAGCCTTAGGACATTTCTTCATTTTCTTGTATTTCTACGACATCATCACATCAAGAAAATTACAAAAAAATGTAAAATAAATTAATTTTTAAATTTGAATGCAGATTTTTAGAGGATTGCGCCAGAAACATTTTGAGGTTTGCCACTTCAAAATCCGATTAAGATAAGTTGAGTTATGGACTTTAGAACTTCAGCCTTAGGACATTTCTTCATTTTCTTGTATTTCTACAACATCATCACATCAAGAAAATTACAAAAAAATGTAAAAAAAATTAATTTTTAAATTTGAATGCAGATTTTTAGAGGATTGCGCCAGAAACATTTTGAGGTATGCCACTTCAAAATCCGATTAAGATAAGTTGAGTTATGGACTTTAGAACTTCAGCCTTAGGACATTTCTTCATTTTCTTGTATTTCTACAACATCATCACATCAAGAAAATTACAAAAAAATGTAACAAAAATTAATTTCTAAATTTGAATGCAGATTTTTAGAGAATTGCGACAGAAACATTTAGAGGTATGCCACTTCAAAATCCGATTAAGATAAGTTGAGTTATGGACTTTAGAACTTCAGCCTTAGGACATTTCTTCATTTTCTTGTATTTCTACGACATCATCACATCAAGAAAATTACAAAAAAATGTAAAAAAAATTAATTTTTAAATTTGAATGCAGATTTTTAGAGGATTGCGCCAGAAACATTTTGAGGTATGCCACTTCAAAATCCGATTAAGATAAGTTGAGTTATGGACTTTAGAACTTCAGCCTTAGGACATTTCTTCATTTTCTTGTATTTCTACAACATCATCACATCAAGAAAATTACAAAAAAATGTAACAAAAATTAATTTCTAAATTTGAATGCAGATTTTTAGAGAATTGCGACAGAAACATTTAGAGGTATGCCACTTCAAAATCCGATTAAGATAAGTTGAGTTATGGACTTTAGAACTTCAGCCTTAGGACATTTCTTCATTTTCTTGTATTTCTACGACATCATCACATCAAGAAAATTACAAAAAAATGTAAAAAAAATTAATTTTTAAATTTGAATGCAGATTTTTAGAGGATTGCGCCAGAAACATTTTGAGGTATGCCACTTCAAAATCCGATTAAGATAAGTTGAGTTATGGACTTTAGAACTTCAGCCTTAGGACATTTCTTCATTTTCTTGTATTTCTACGACATCATCACATCAAGAAAATTACAAAAAAATGTAAAAAAAATTAATTTTTAAATTTGAATGCAGATTTTTAGAGAATTGTGCCAGAAACATTTTGATGTATGCCACTTCAAAATCCGATTAAGATAAGTTGAGTTATGGACTTTAGAACTTCAGCCTTAGGACATTTCTTCATTTTCTTGTATTTCTACAACATCATCACATCAAGAAAATTACAAAAAAATGTAACAAAAATTAATTTCTAAATTTGAATGCAGATTTTTAGAGAATTGCGACAGAAACATTTAGAGGTATGCCACTTCAAAATCCGATTAAGATAAGTTGAGTTATGGACTTTAGAACTTCAGCCTTAGGACATTTCTTCATTTTCTTGTATTTCTACGACATCATCACATCAAGAAAACTACAAAAAAATGTACAAAAAATTAATTTTTAAATTTGAATGCAGATTTCTAGAGAATTGCGCCAGAAACATTTTGAGGTACGCCACTTCAAAATCCGATTAAGAAAAGTTGAGTTGTGGAGTTCAGAACTTCAGCCTTAGGACATTTCTTCATTTTCTTGTATTTCTACGACATCATCACATCAAGAAAATTACAAAAAAAATGTAAAAAAAATTAATTTTTAAATTTGAATGCAGATTTTTAGAGGATTGCGCCAGAAACATTTTGAGGTATGCCACTTCAAAATCCGACTAAGATACGTTGAGTAATGGAGTTTAGAACTTCAGCCTTAGGACATTTCTTCATTTTCTTGTATTTTTACGACATCATCACATCAAGAAAATTACAAAAAAATGTAAAAAAAATTAATTTTTAAATTTGAATGCAGATTTTTAGAGGATTGCGCCAGAAACATTTTGAGGTATGCCACTTCAATTAAGATAAGTTGAGTTGTGGAGTTTAGAACTTCAGCCTTAGGACATTTCTTCATTTTCTTGTATTTCTACAACATCATCACATCAAGAAAATTACAAAAAAATGTCAAAAAAATTAATTTCTAAATTTGAATGCAGATTTTTAGAGAATTGTGACAGAAACATTTAGAGGTATGCCACTTCAAAATCCGATTAAGATAAGTTGAGTTATGGACTTTAGAACTTCAGCCTTAGGACATTTCTTCATTTTCTTGTATTTCTACGACATCATCACATCAAGAAAATTACAAAAAAATGTACAAAAAATTAATTTTTAAATTTGAATGCAGATTTCTAGAGAATTGCACCAGAAACATTTTGAGGTACGCCACTTCAAAATCCGATTAAGAAAAGTTGAGTTGTGGAGTTCAGAACTTCAGCCTTAGGACATTTCTTCATTTTCTTGTATTTCTACGACATCATCACATCAAGAAAATTACAAAAAAATGTAAAAAAAATTAATTTTTAAATTTGAATGCAGATTTTTAGAGGATTGCGCCAGAAACATTTTGAGGTATGCCACTTCAAAATCCGACTAAGATACGTTGAGTAATGGAGTTTAGAACTTCAGCCTTAGGACATTTCTTCATTTTCTTGTATTTTTACGACATCATCACATCAAGAAAATTACAAAAAAATGTAAAAAAAATTAATTTTTAAATTTGAATGCAGATTTTTAGAGGATTGCGCCAGAAACATTTTGAGGTATGCCACTTCAAAATCCGATTAAGATACGTTGAGTAATGGAGTTTAGAACTTCAGCCTTAGGACATTTCTTCATTTTCTTGTATTTCTACGACATCATCACATCAAGAAAACTACAAAAAAATGTAAAAAAAATTAATTTTTAAATTTGAATGCAGATTTCTAGAGAATTGCGCCAGAAACATTTTGAGGTATGCCACTTCAAAATCCGATTAAGATAAGTTGAGTTGTGGAGTTTAGAACTTCAGCCTTAGGACATTTCTTCATATTCTTGAATTTCTACAACATCATCACATCAAGAAAATTACAAAAAAATGTAAAAAAAATTAATTTCTAAATTTGAATGCAGATTTTTAGAGAATTGCGACAGAAACATTTAGAGGTATGCCACTTCAAAATCCGATTAAGATAAGTTGAGTTATGGACTTTAGAACTTCAGCCTTAGGACATTTCTTCATTTTCTTGTATTTCTACGACATCATCACATCAAGAAAATTACAAAAAAATGTAAAAAAAAATTAATTTCTAAATTTGAATGCAGACTTTTAGAGAATTGCTCCAGAATCATTTAGAGGTATGCCACTTCAAAATCCGATTAAGATAAGTTGAGTTATGGAGTTTAATACCTCAGCTTTAGAACATTTTATAATTTTTTTGGACTCCTACATAATCACATCAAAAAAATTACAAAAACAATAATGAAATGCTATAGTCGAGTTCCCCGACTATCAGACACCCATTACTCTGCTAGTGAAAGTGCGAAGGAGAAATTTCATAATTTTCTGGAATATCGTTAAAAATTGCGAATAAAATTAAGAAATTAAAAAAAAAATTGTTCAAAAGTGTGGGCGTGACAGATTTTTCCTTCGGCCTGTTACCTACTTTTCAACGAATCTAGTATACCCTTTTACTCTACGAGTAACGGCTATGCTGTAACGGGGCTTGGGGTCACCAAATGCCATGCCTTGGGTCGCCAAACTTTCTTCGATTTATTAAACTTTCGGCTTATTATTATTCGGTTAACTAATCGACCTTTGTTTCGTTCCTCACTTAGAAACAACGTGGATTTGGCTCCAGGAGATCGGTATGTGCGCATCGCCTTTGCCGAGGCAGCCAAGGAGATTGACCTGGCCATCAACAACACCCTGGACATGCTCTTCTCCAACCGATCCGACAAGGCGCCGCCCAACTATGGCGAACTACTGCGGGTCTTCCGCTTTCCCACTGGAGAAGCTAGGCAATTGGCCCGCGCGGCGGAGATCTACGAGAGGACACTGGTCAATATTCGGAAACACGTCCAGGAGGGAGATAACCTGACCATGAAGAGCGAGGAGTACGAGTTCCGCGATCTGCTGTCACGAGAGCATTTGCATCTGGTGGCGGAGCTATCGGGCTGCATGGAACACCGTGAGATGCCCAACTGCACGGATATGTGCTTCCACTCGAGGTACAGGAGTATCGATGGCACCTGCAACAACCTGCAGTATCCCACCTGGGGCGCTTCACTCACCGCCTTCCGGAGACTGACGCCACCGATTTACGAGAACGGTTTCAGTATGCCCGTGGGCTGGACCAAGGGCATGTTGTACTCGGGTCATGCCAAGCCCAGTGCGAGACTGGTGTCCACCTCCCTTGTGGCCACCAAGGAGATCACACCGGATGCCCGGATAACACACATGGTGATGCAGTGGGGTCAGTTCTTGGATCACGATTTGGATCATGCCATTCCATCCGTGAGTTCGGAGAGCTGGGACGGCATCGATTGCAAGAAGAGCTGCGAGATGGCTCCACCGTGTTATCCCATTGAAGTGCCCCCGAATGATCCGCGCGTCCGAAACCGTCGTTGCATTGATGTGGTGCGATCCAGCGCCATCTGTGGATCCGGCATGACCTCCCTCTTCTTCGACAGCGTACAGCATCGTGAGCAGATCAACCAACTGACCTCCTACATCGATGCATCTCAGGTGTATGGCTACAGTACACCATTCGCCCAGGAGCTGCGCAATCTGACATCCCAGGAGGGATTACTGCGCGTGGGTGTCCACTTTCCGCGCCAGAAGGACATGCTGCCCTTTGCTGCTCCCCAGGATGGCATGGATTGCCGCAGGAATCTCGATGAGAACACCATGAGCTGTTTTGTTTCGGGCGATATCCGGGTGAACGAGCAGGTCGGTCTGCTGGCCATGCACACCATTTGGATGAGGGAGCACAACAGGATAGCTAGCAAACTGAAGCAAATCAATTCCCATTGGGATGGGGACACCTTGTACCAGGAGGCTCGTAAGATAGTGGGTGCCCAGATGCAGCACATCACCTTCAAGCAGTGGCTGCCCTTGATTGTTGGCGAAAGTGGCATGGAGATGATGGGCGAGTACCAAGGCTACAATCCCCAACTGAATCCCAGCATAGCCAACGAATTTGCCACGGCCGCCCTGCGATTTGGCCACACCATCATAAACCCTATTCTCCATCGCTTGAACGAGACCTTCCAGCCGATACCCCAGGGCCATCTGCTCCTCCACAAGGCCTTCTTTGCTCCCTGGCGTCTGGCCTATGAGGGTGGAGTGGATCCACTGATGCGGGGTTTCCTGGCCGTGCCCGCCAAGCTGAAGACCCCAGATCAGAACCTCAACACTGAGCTCACGGAGAAGCTGTTCCAGACTGCCCATGCTGTAGCATTGGATCTGGCGGCCATCAACATTCAGAGGGGCAGGGATCACGGAATGCCCGGCTATAATGTCTACAGGAAGCTATGCAATCTTACAGTGGCTCAAGACTTTGAGGACCTAGCCGGCGAAATTAGTAATGCCGAGATACGCCAGAAGATGAAAGAACTGTATGGACATCCGGATAACGTGGATGTTTGGTTGGGTGGCATCCTCGAGGATCAGGTGGAGGGCGGCAAGGTGGGTCCTCTATTCCAGTGCATGCTGGTTGAGCAGTTCCGTAGGCTTCGGGATGGTGATCGGCTGTACTACGAGAATCCCGGTGTGTTTTCACCCGAGCAACTGACCCAAATCAAGCAGGCCAACTTTGGTCGCGTGCTCTGCGATGTGGGTGACAACTTCGACCAGGTCACCGAGAACGTGTTTATTTTGGCCAAGCACCAGGGTGGCTACAAGAAGTGCGAGGATATAGCCGGCATAAATCTCTATCTGTGGCAGGAGTGCGGCAGGTGCAACAGTCCACCGGCCATCTTCGATTCCTACATACCGCAAACGTACACCAAGCGGAGCAACAGGCAGAAGAGAGATCTCGGCAAGGAGAACGAGGAGGTGGCCACCGCCGAGAGCTATGACAGTCCGCTGGAAACCCTCTACGATGTGAACGAAGAAAGAGTCAGTGGGCTGGAGGAACTGATTGGCAGCTTCCAGAAGGAACTGAAAAAGCTGCACAAGAAGCTGCGCAAGCTGGAGGACTCCTGCAATTCCGCCGACTCCGAGCCAGTGGCTCAGGTGGTGCAGCTGGCGGCGGCACCGCCCCAGTTGGTTTCCAAGCCCAAGAGGAGCCACTGCGTCGACGACAAGGGCACCACCCGGCTGAACAACGAGGTCTGGTCTCCGGATGTCTGCACCAAGTGCAACTGTTTCCACGGCCAAGTCAACTGCCTGCGGGAGCGATGCGGCGAGGTCAGCTGTCCGCCGGGAGTTGATCCACTGACGCCTCCGGAGGCCTGCTGCCCACACTGCCCGATGGTCAAGTGAAGAGCCGTCAAATGAATTACGCATATCGACGTTTATCCGTAGTAGCCACACTCACTCTAATCAAAACCAAAATGGAAACACACCGGCAATTGCGCAATGAGCATGTTTAATTGACAATTAACTAACAATGTACTGCTACACGTGTAATAAAATAAAGCACATTAATAACCCATAGTCATTTATTTGTACAAATTATTCAACTTACTTGGACAGTTCCGAAAAGGTTTCTCAAAAATACTTTGTATTAGTAGCTCCCAATACACGAAACAATTAATTTAAATTAGTGCGGGACTTCCGGTCTAGTCAAATTTAATATACTTCAGATGTGTGCCCTTGGCTATCACCGTGTCGTCCTTTTTGTGCTTCAAGGTGCAATCGATGAAGGCGAGGTACTTGCCCACCTTGGACAGGTTGGCCTCAATCACCACATCGTCACCCAATTTGGCGCCGTTCAGAAAGTTTACGCTTAAATCCACCGAAACGCCGGGATGACATGGCTTGGACATCAGGGCGTAGGTGGTTATCATGTCCACCAGGGTCATGATATAGCCGCCGTGCATGAACTTGTACAGGTTCACATGATCCTTGTCCACCTTGAGTTCAGCAGTGCAGGCTCCATCGCCGCCGTCCACGATCTTGACCTTAAATAGATGATGATATAAGGATGAGATAATGAGTTTTGTAAGGAGACTCTGCGGTGATCTAACCTTTTGTAGGTGACTTTCAAAGCCCGTTGATTTGGTGATAATCTCGGTGATGTGTTTAGCGAATTCAAGTCCTTTCTTGCGAGTTCCCATATTATTAATTGATGTTGCCTGACAGACGATCCGCTAGCTTCTATATAACTGCAAAATAAATTAGTTCGTTCGATCGTAAGATTATAAATATACTAGATTTAGTTTTTTAGATAGATAAGTAGTCGTATCAGGCACTTGTATCTTAAGTTTTAGATAGTAATACTTTTACAATAGAACAACCCAAGTTTATTGTATGACACTAGGTATGACGTGTGTATATTTGGATTGCACTAAAGCCAATCAAAAACAAATCACAGTAGTATATTACCAAACGGATTGCTTTGAAATTTTCAATATTTGATTTCATTATCTTCGAGTGCGGTTTTCCGCTTTTCGATGAAAAACAAACAACTAGCCAGTATCAAAATAAGGTAAACAGAACATGGCGCAATGTCATGAAATAGTTAGGAATGCGGAACCTACCTAACTACGCCCGTAAGCCCCCAAAATTGACATAAATATCTTAAATATTAAAATCTAACGTAACACCTCCGAAAAGCACTACAATTTCAAAACAAACAACAGCTGTTTCTCGATGACGGGTTGCGCCAATCGATATATGAAAGGGCATAATCGATATGGAAATCTTACCTTTTTTAAAATTGTCCGTTAGGATTTTTATGATTTTTTTTTTTTTTTAAGTGTTAAATAAATTTTTGTATCTTCGAAATTAAGATCTTAAGAAAACAAAGAGCACAGATAAATTAGCCATACTTTAATAGTGGTTCGAAAAATTTTATTTGGCTTTGCGACGATCTACAAACTGTTTTAGAAATCCAGCTTTTCCTTGTCAAACTGAATGTACTTGACCTGTCCGCCCTTCGCGATGATCTTTCCGTCTGACTTGCGCCTCAGAATGCAATCCAAATAGGCCATTTTCTTGCCGGCCCGCACAGTATGACAATCAATTTCGATAATTTCCCCAGGTTTCGCTGCTGCAATGTAGCTCACATTCAAGTTGGCCGTAACTCCGGGATGGGAGCCTTAAAATTAAAGTAAAATTAATCGTAGATCTCTATATTTTGTAATTAATATACCCTTCGACATAAGGGCATACGTGGTACAATTATCGACAATTGTTGCCGTGAGACCACCATGCAAAGTTCCTTGGCGATTCAAGTGCTCATTGGCCACAGTAAACTCCCCTATAGCGCGACCATCACCACCGCCTGTGATTTTAATCTGCGAATTTCATTGAACTTTTTAGCAGAAAGTCAATTTTGGAATCTCTGTAGATACAACGAGAGAGATGAGCACTTCAAAGTCGCACTTATCGATTGTAGCGAGCCAAGTTATGTAATACCATCACTGACGACAGTCAGCTGTTTGCTTGTGAGACTTCGACGGCGTCGCTTTAAAATCGGCTGCACTTTTTGTTTATAATCTTACCATTCTCAAAACCCGGTCAAATCCATTGGACCCGCTGGCGTACTCGGACATCTGCTTCACAAAGTCCTTTGAAAACAAAGCACTTTAGTTATCTACTTGACAAGTTACATGCTGTCCTAACCATTCCCAGTTTTTTGGTCGCCATTCCGGTGGATTTGGATTCCTGAACTGAGCACGACGAAATGACGAAAGTTACTGAGGGAGGCATTTCACATGGCGTTCAAGATGTGGGGAAATGTGAGTGTATGCGTGCTGTGTAGATATACCCACACATCTGAGATAGTGATTGCCGATTCTACGCTGTTTGTTGTGCTCGCTCTGTTCGCACTAACAAAGTACTTGTAAATAATCCGTAGTCTTTAATGATATGTTGTAACAACTGGAATATCTTTTATGATTAATACTTTAGAAACTATGTTGTATTTCGTTCTAGCTAACCTGGAATTTCCCATCCTAGCCAAAGCATTCGTCCGCCAGGACTCGGTGCACGACTTTATAAGCAGCGACTCCGACGCAGACTTTATTGCACTGAGCGGCTCCAAATCGAATGTGGTTACCCTGGAGTTGAACAGCAAGTTCATGGTCGTGGATCCCTGGCCCTATTTTGTGGCCATCTTGGATTCTAACGCTGCGGAAACACGACCCCTAGACGTATTGGCCAACAAAGTGAATTTGGTGGCCATATACGACAGCTGCGATGTCCTGGAATCACAGCAGCTGGCCCTGGACCCGGCATACACCGCTGTGTGCTCCGTTGCCGTGCCACCAGCCAGATTAATATGTGTTAAGCGAGCACCCAAGCCGATGGCTAATGGAAATCTCCTGCTGGGCTCCCTTAACACTTATGGATCCTTGAGCCTAATAAACAAACCGGCAGAATACAGTCGCTGGAACCCTTTGGAAGGACTCAATATCGCTGAAACTCTGAGGGACACTCTGCTGCCTGAAGTGAACATCGCCAAGATCAAAGACTTTAAGAACTATCAGGAATATATTAATCCCGCCTGGATCACTATGTTTGCTTGGTTACCTGATGATTCAAGTACCACTGGCCAGCATGTTTTGGTTTTGGGAACCGCCTCCGGAAGTTTGTGGTTGCTCACAATAAGCGCCGACGTCAAAACTCTTTTGAGTCACCAAGAAACGAAAACCAGCCTGGGTCGTATCTGCCATATACAAGCATTCAAGGACCTTCTACTGGTGGGCGATAGCAACGGACTCATCCACCTGTACCAATTGCCAGAAAAGGGAAGCAAAGCTCCCGTCTTAGTGAAGCCCTTGTGGGAGAAAGCGGATCGAATGGGTCTGCAAATGGCAGTGATCACTGAATGCCCCATCAAGGAGTGCTATTATATAACCTGCTGCAAGGCGGCGCATCTGCTGACCTGGAGCATGCCAAGAACGGGGAACACAGAGTGTCTGAAGGCGCGGATCTATGTCGGCGGAATGAAGATCACCGGTCTTTGCAGCCTGGGCAACAGTAGCTATGCTGCAGGAACCTCAGGAAGCTATCTGCATCGCGTACAAATTATTCACGAGAATAATCAGCTCAGCTTGCAGATGCAATCAATAGCCATGGGTGTGCTTCAGGACTTTCAGGTGATGGGACTGAACAGCAGCAGACACAAGAACTTAATGACCCTTTTCCTCTACCGCAACAAAGAATACATGAGTGAAAGTGTGTCTCAGAAGAATCAGTTGCTTATGCAAGTGCTCAAGGTGGGGAATCAGGATCCACTTGCTCAGCTTATCAGTCACCTAAAATCCAATAACCCCATGAATCACTATACCGATTTATTAGCTGAACTTCGTCTACACGTATTTGCCGAGGAGAATTGGCAAAGGTATATGGACTATGGTCCATTAGATTCCTTTCAATTTACGGATTCCGCCACTGAAAGCCAGCTGCAGCAGCTTCAAATCAAATTCCACGTCCTTCAATACGTGCTTCGCCTGCAATCGAGCCACCTCCAGCTGACTGTTCACATCCAAAAGTCCCAGGATGAACTGCAGCTACTCCTCGCAATGCTGAATATCACACATATAAGACTGAGGCTCAACTTCATTGGGTCGTTTAGTAAGAGGACACCATTCCAGGAGCAGGCAACAAAATGTTTGTTGGAGGAGGCCCACCGACTGATGAATAAAGTTAAGGCCAACTTCACGGACAAGCATGCCCTAGGTTCTACAGCAAACGCATTCGTCCAGCAAGTAGGCAATCATATTCAGCTCTTGCATAAGAATCTGGGTATTCCTGTGATAGCTAATCCCCAGGAGAAGCTAGTTCATCGCTGCAGTGTGTCCTTTGTGGAGGTGAGGATTTACTAAAATTATTGTAAAGACATGTCTATAGCATTCATACAGATCTCCCCCAGCTTGGAGCGACGCTACTGCAGCCTCTGCGACCGCCAGATACTTTTCGAGATGGAAAACCTACGAGAGCTCTACGAATCCGGAAGATATCTGAATTGCCCTGTTTGCCATGGAAGCTTCGCCGCGGAAATGTTAAATGCATAAACGTTAAATTTATTCTCAATCTTCATTACCAAGTTTTTTGTGTGTCCGCCTCTAAGAGCGAAGCAAGCGAGTCCAAAGAGACACCTCACTCGGCTGCCAGATGCCGACACACATGCACAGAAAAGGAAAGAAAAGCAATGTCAGCGTTAGTACTCGGAAACATAGATAATGGGAGTGGTATCGATTAGTAGAATGTCCTGCTCCACCTGGCGAAGGTCAGACTCCAGTTTGCTTTTGCGCTGCCGCTTGGCGATGCTGTCGATCAGAAGCGACATGGACTGATACTGCTTGGTCATCTCGGTCAGGCTCAGACGCAGTCCCTCGAGGATCTCATTGCGCTCGGCCTGCTCCATTACCCGCATTCCCGGCACTTGCGGTGGACCACTTGATTGGACGGAGGCCCGGGTGAAGCCCTTGATACCGCGGCACAACTCCAGCAAACGTGCCTGTTCCTTAGCGCACACCGCGTTCATGTCGGCCAGCATTCTCTTGGTTTTCTTGAGATAAATGGGAACCTTGCCGAAATCCTTGCGGCAGATAAACTGCGGCACCAATCCGGAATTGAGCAGGTCGTGACGAGCTCCCACGGGAGTGTCTATATAACGAGGTGGCGGAGGACAGGGAATCGTCTGTCCGGCGCACATCCTGTTGCGCTTAATGAAATTGGGTACCATGGTCGGCTTTTTGCGGCCACTACCCGCCGGTGGAAGTGGCGGCATTGGCGGCATCTTGGGACACTTGTGGGTATTCTCCCGTCGCCATTTGATGCCCTGGCTCTTGCGCAAGTAGGCGCACGGTGGGTCAATCGGAGTGTGAGCACAGCCCATGGTGCGATGGGCTGATTTCTTGGCCTCTGTCAGGACGCGAGTTCCATCGGCCTGCAGGATAACCGATAACTTCTTGTCCTCCTCGGTCAAGCGCTCGCGAAGTTTTCGGGCATAATTGGCTGCCCTCTCCACAACAGCTGCAAAATTGCTTAAAGTTAGATGTGAAGAAAAGAATTTTTAGCAGGAAATCCCTACGATTTTTGTAGACAAAAATGGACTCCTTGGGTCCTTGGGCCTTCTCAAAATCGTGCTCGCACCCGACAATGTTCTCATCGTGATGGGTGATATAAACCAGGGACATTGTAATGCAAATATATAAGGTTGAAAGTAGGGAACTCTAAAGCGTGCTAGTTTACTGACTAATCGTTTAATAATAACAGTTTGTTTACTAGGGACTTCTGCTTTGCCAAGTACCTCTCTGCTGGCTTCGATTGATTTAACTAAAAACAAAGGTTGCTATAGAATTTTCAGCGTTTCCTGGAGATACTAAAACTTTCCTAACAATTGGAATTCGATATTTGTTCTGGAACTTTCAGGAACACACAAATAGTTGGTATTATTGTATATATATTTTTTAAAGCACAGAATCAAGCTACAGCTTGTGTCGCACACGAGTTACATTAATAAATTGTAAATAATTTGTTATCATATAAAATTCGTGTATATAAATATTTCGCTTGCGTATATAAAATAATTGTTTGCATTGTAAAATTAGCACTAAGATCGTTTGTCATGGTTACATTTTGATTCCGAAGCTTAACAATAAACATGGAAGTGTTGGAAGCACGATTTAAATACGAATACGACATAGATTCAGATTCAGATACGGATTACAGGTTACTGATTCAAAGCAGCACACAAAAATGCTGGTGCCGACTTACAAGCTAGATATGTGGTTTAATGGGTTATGAACTTGACGATGTTAACGAATGTAAAAGCCACTCAGAATTTGCACTGTTTTTGGATGTGGTCAGCTCTTCTCTGCTGACCACCAATAGGCACTACGAAAATTTCGGATCAGCAACATGGTCCTTTGCTATTGCACGTTGACAAGTAGATGTAGTGGAGATTTGATACCATTCAGCTGAACCAGCAGTTTCACTTGTTGCCGCTGCTCTCGCGCTCCTCTCGGATCCTTTTGAATGCCTCCGTCTTGACAAAGTCCACGGATCTGTAGACCACGCTGCTGGGCACCGGGGCACGGGCTCCACCAGCTTCGACGCCAGCCAGTCGCATCCCACTAGCTCCGCTTCCTCCTTGTGAGTACAGATTTCCCACACTCATGCTGGATCGATTTAGCAATGGCGGTTTGTTGGTCACATCCAAATCAAAGTACTGAAGCTTGTGCTCAGTCTGCGCAGCCGCTTGCTGCTTGGGAGCTGCCGCTCCCGTCAAGCTCATCATGGCAGCCGCTGCAGATGCGGTGCGCTGATGTTGTACCGACATGCTGCCGGGACTGTTTGGATGCTGTCGATGCTGTTGGCGAGGCAGGGTGCGAGTCTCATGGAAGAAGGCGTTGGCTGCCGGGGAGTGGACATCCGTTTCATGCAGCAGCACCATTGAAAGAGGTGCGCCGGAGGAACGCCGTGTTGCCGGCGACATGGTCGCCGGATTCCCCAACTAAAAATAAGACATTAGTCAAATGATTTTGTATATGTACAATGTTTCGTACTCACCTTGTAGGCATTCGGTTTGCACTTTCTGTCCACACTGGGCGGTCCAATCGGCTGCTGCAGTTGGGCTGCACCCAATTTATTGGTTAGATGCTCGACGCCCACCGGGGGCTTTGCCGGAAATTCCTCTGGCGGTTTGTCCTCTACAACTGGCAATCCTCCCGACACCTTTGGCTTAAGTTTCCGGTTAACTGGCGGGCAGTCCGCCTGCTCCATGAAGTCGTATCGAAACACATTGCCCTCCATCTTCGTGGGAGCTGCATTGGTGTAGCAGTGTCGAGGCAACGTTCGCGCACTGGTGGGCGATGAGGCGGCTGGTTGTGCCCCGCCAATCAGGCCGGGATTCGCTGCCGCTGAGATGCCGGCCACTGCACCCAAATCAGCCGCCATGAGATTTGGCGTGGATGCAGCAATGGGGTTGGAATTGTGAGGGCTGGTGACTGGTCGCTCGCCCAGCAGCTGGTTAACGTTGTAGTAAGGCTGCTGATGAGACCGTGGAATGTCGTAGCTTTCCTCGATGAAAGCGGAGTGGGCGTTGCGTCGGGCCACAATGGCCGGTGAAGTATTTTCCGTATCCGACAGCTGCGGTAGATCGCGAGGAATTCTGCTAGTGCACAAATTGACATTGAAATGTGAAATGTGTTTCAAATTCACTTGACAGTGCTTTAACTCACTTTTCATTCTCCTTAAAGTCCAATATGAGATTATTTTTGTTCTTCAGCACCTTGGCCAGCTTATCCAGCGTTCCTTGGTCACCAGCCTCTGCCAGAGATGCTGCTCCCGCTAACTTGGAATTCTTTTCAGCTGGTGGCACGATCGCTGCACCTTCTTCGGGCATCTTGGAGAAACGCTGCGAGTAGGTCAGTACGAATGATTCGTTCTCAATGGAACTATCCGAAGGTCGGGTGCTGCGATCTGTGATAAGTCTTTGTTTACTGCGAATTCGCGTTGATATTTGACTTTTGAGTACTTACCCACATTCTCGCGCAGGGGCAAAGGATGAGCCCACTCATCGTCATCGGTGAAAACGCTTTCCGAGTCGGAGTCGGAGCGCTGTTTGCTAGCATTGTTATTGGCCAATTGTTGCTGAAAGGTCAACAAGATAATTATTAATTACAACTGCATGACGTACATCGTAAGCTATCAACTTACCAGACTCAAATTGGTAATCTTCGGTGAGTAGGACTGATCGTTGGTCAGATTTAGACCAATGTTATTATGACTACGCGGCGTATCGTAGAACTTGGGGTCCAAGTTGTTCAACGGCGTGGTGGGGTTGTTTGGTATGGCCACATCTGCACCGGGAGTTCCACTGCCGGGCAGGAATCTCGGGCTGCCCGAGAAGCACTCGCTGATGGGTATGTATGGTCCGGAGGCGGTGCTCAAAGCGGGTGAAGCCTGCACGCTGCTGTGTTGCTGGGCAGCTGCCTCCGCCAGGGTCTGCTGGGTGAGCACCAGGTGCTCCGGCAACTTTCGCACCACTCCATTGGCGCTGACCGCCAAGCGAGCAGCTTGTTGCTGCTGCTGCAGTTGCTCGGCGGCCGCAGCTGCCGCCTGAGCTTGGATCAAAGCACTGTGGTTTAGATAAAGTGCCGTTGCCGGCGATGGAGGCGGTTGCTGCTGGGCAGCCGAGAGCAGTTCCTGTTGGTCGAAGTTGGCATCGCAGAGCATCGTCTCTCGATTGCTGTACTCCGTGTTGACATACACCGAGTCTGAGTTATTGTTGCCGACAGTCGAGGGCATCGGTTGCTGTTCAATGACCGCCGGGCGTCGCAGTTGGGCGCAGTTGGATCCTCCAGCACTTGGGACCGAGGCTTGGGGCGCTGTGGTTCCGGCAGAGGAGTGCAACGATGTGGTGGTCGTATTCTGAGTGGAGTTGCTCAGACCGCCACTGGAGCTCGTGTGCTGGGTGCGGTTTTCGTCTGGGTGTTACAAAGAAGGCGTAGGGGTTCAGAAAGGGGTTCTTTAGACTTGGGCTTGCGTACACTCACCTGCACCCACAGCTCCCAATGGCAACTCATTCGACTGCTTGGTGTCGTGTAGGTGACACACCTGGCAGATGCAGTTCACCCAGTCGCGCATATCCGCCTCCGTTTCGGCAGCCAGGTAATAGGTGCGCTTGGGCGTCTTGATATCGAACATGTACTGAAACTTCTGCTTGCGATTCTCCAGCCGCAGGCCGCAGTCCACCTGCTCGCACTGATCCAAATCGATAACGCCCTTCAGCTTGCGGCAGTTGTGGTCGGTGTAGTATTCGAGGCAGAACTGCTCCGGTATCTCGCCCTGCTTCAGCGTGAAATAGCGACGCCTCCAGCGCTACAAAGATAATTTGGAAACAGGGCGTTAAGAGTTGCAACGAGGCGCACAGTTTTAAAAGCAATAGTAATTTTTCCTAGGCCTCTGCATATTCAAGATTCCTTCATAACGATATGTTAAATAGGTCGTGGAAGTACAAATATAATACGATAAACGAGTGTCGTTGTTTTAATAGCAAAAGGAACTAACAAAGGTTAAAATGTGATGCCCCTAAATGGGACTAAATTGTTTGCTGTTTTGATAAGAGTAAGCAAATGGGTGTGAGGATATTAAGCAAGATTACACTTTAACAAATTGTACTAATATGTCTGAATACTGATGACTAACTTAATGAGGTAGTTAGTCATAACTTAACAATCTTGATGCTTACTAATACGACTAAAGTCGTATTTGCTTAGAGAATGGAATAATTTTGATTAGAATATACTAATTTAGGATCTGCAATGGACTGCAATTCATTAACACATTTCCTAGAATCTGCACTATCTATCTCTAACTAGCTCTAATTATGCGATATATTGCCATAGTTTTATATAGCCGTTTATAAATGTTCTCCACGAGTGTGGCGATGTCTCTGTTCTGAATTAAGATACCCTTGCTGAGCGATGGACTGTGGATGGTGATATGAGGGTAGGGTCCGGCTGATCAGCTCAACGACTGAGTACACTATCACCAATAACTGCTGGTGATGGTGGATGGTGAGTAAGCGGGTGATGAAGCCGAAGTCGACAGAGACTGCAGCGGCGCTGCTTTTCCGCGAATCATGTTTTGCATTGACATTTTCTTGGGTAATCAGCAGACACACACACGGAACAACACCCCACACCCACTTTACCGTTAAGCGGTTGGGAAATTAACAGCTGGGAGGTTCGGGAACCCGCTGAAAACTGAAAACTCCATCTGATAATGGATGGATTTTTCGGACTGTATAATATCACGCTTAATTGAATTATAAACAATAAACATAATGCCGCGCACAGGCCAGAAATTGGCACCCCGAGGCGCTGGAAATACGCAGCTTATTTTCTCGAGGCATCATTAAAGTTTGTTTATACAATGGCGCTCAAGATATTAGAACCGCATACATACATTTGTCTATTTTTACAAAAATTTTATAAATATGTAGTTTGTTTACATTTTACGAGCTTGATGGGGGATGTTTAAAATTAGAAACATTCTGTAAACCTTCATTGTATTTTTAGACGCTGGTTAAAAGTTTGTTATTTTTATTATTGTATTTAACTGAATACTACTATTTTGACCGCTATTGCATGCCTAAGCATAAGCAAACAAATTGAGTACAGTGAAACCATGAAGTGGGTTTGTTGTAACTGAAAATTCTGTGCTGCAGACCTTTTGATCAACGGTTTGGGTGTTCTTGGAACTGTCGTATCCATTATAAGTGGTTTCAAATGAACGCTCCAGAGATGAGCGCGTGTCACGAACTTTAAAATGTAAGCATAATTAATTTTAAAGCCAGTTGAAAATAAGCACTAACAGTAAAACCATTTCGAGTATACTTAAATTTTTTAATATTTTAAACAATTTTCATATAAATTTACCAAAAATTGCATAAAGGCTTTTTCAATAGTTTATTATCTAAACGATCGTGAGAGGTTTTCTAAGTTCAGACCTAATGAGTCATAAATTATTATCGCCTGTAAGTAAGACTTATAAAACTGACACTACAACAGCGCATCACTAGAATGAGCAACAACAACAAGGAGCTGGAAAGACAAGTGCGTCGTTGTTTTTGTGGTCGCCGTCGCTAGTTTATGTTGTCTTTGTACATTGTTTTTGTGCGTGATCCGCTTATCGGCCGTGCACATAAAAAACGGAAAACAAGCACATATGCGCATAAAAAACATGAAATACGGGGAAAGTAAATTTGATTAAACGCAACAGTTGGCGGAAATTTAATACGGTTCCCTGAAGTAAACATTAAACGGAAAATTAATTAAGCGTAAATTTAGACCAGGGGAAATGAAAAAAACACACGTTCCCACGCCAAATGCAAACATAAACAGAAAGAGAGTGGCCGACGGAGAGGGAGGTGCGGAGAGAGGGAAAAAACGCAGAGGAAGCCATCGTAAATTCATTCACATATTCGCAATTACTGCTGCGGTTTTCAGCTTGTTTGCATTCCAATCAACTGGAATACTGGAATTGCAATCCCTCGGCTTAATAATGAATTAAATTATACCACAAACAACAACGCCAAACAAACGCACGCACACACACACTAAGGCAGGCACCAATACAGGCTTAGCGTAATTGTAAAAAAATGCCACTTCCATTATCCATCGCTTTTTTTTAAATCTTTTTCGTGAGTCAATCGATGGACAAAGATTACGGTATTTCTCTTCCGGTCTTAAGATTACCGTTACCCAATCGCGGTTCTCTTTTCTTTGCACATTTCACTAATCACTAAGTATTTCTGATTTGATTTGTTGGAATTTTCATTTTGATTTTGATTTTGAGCTGGGGTTTCCAGGAAAATTCCTTTGCACTTCCCCACGCACACACACACAGGTTTTCGAAAGCCTAAGGTTTTCCATTTTCGGAAACTTACTGCTCGCCAAATGCGTTTGGTGGGCGGCGACTTAATTAGCCAGCCTTCGTAGAAAGTGCGATCCATTATTTTGCAGCGCTCGACGCAAATTACTTAGATTTATTTCACTCCACTCCGCGCACACAACTAGAGGTGGGCGTCACGCCAACGATAGTATCGAGCATATAGTTCTGGCGAAGCAATATCGATTAAGTATTCGATTGGCTTGAAGCTATGTATATCGATATAAATTGTTTGGCGGAAAGCTATTATTTTATTTATTCTGCCAACGAATTAACTTCATAACTCGATCTTAGTGTAGTAGACCGTTAAATGGTTTCGAATTAATTGCAATTAGTGTGACCTTATCTCAAATTGCATGTTTACTCAACACTGGAATTATTTAAAATTTTGAGTTGCAATTATGAAATATTTACATTCATCATTAAATAAAAAAATAAATTCCTCGCTTTTATTTTTAGTCTTTAAAAAATTTAAATTTTTTAAAAATAATGCATTCTAATAGTAACCCCATTCTTATTACAGTTTTATATGTATTCCCAAATAAACAATTTATGTTTGATAACAAGAAATTGCAGATTACGTATTTACCAAATAGACCTAAACAAAAACTATTTAGGTTGGTTCTTTAAATAGCAAACGACGGATAATTTTTACAAATAAGTTTTATTCCGCCGTGTCAAGCGTATGCCTACAACATACAGATTTTCCATGTAGAATAGCATTTTCTCCCACAGCGCCGCACAGCAGAGCACGACTACTACCCAGATCTCAGGCGGAACCTGTGTCACGCCGGAATCCTGCTGCAGCCAGAGCTTACTTGTCCTTGCTGTCGCCCTTGCCACCACGGATCCTACCGGTACGACGGGCAGCGATGAGACCGACCTTGCGACCGGCGGAGGTGCCTCGCTTGACGGTAGAGGCCTTACCAATGTGCTGATGGTTACCACCACCGTGAGGATGCTCCACAGGGTTCATGGCCACACCACGCACCTTAGGCCAGCTGTTGCGCTTCACCTTGTACTTGTGGTAGGCACGACCGGCCTTCAGGATGGGCTTGTCGATACGACCGCCGCCGGCAACGATGCCAACCATGGCGCGGTTGGCCGAGGGCACGACCTTCTTGGCGCCGGAGGGCAGCTTGACACGGGTCTTCTTGGTGTCCTGGTTGTGGGCAATCACGGTGGCGTAGTTGCCAGATGTGCGGGCCAAACGGCCGCGATCACCGGTCTTCTCCTCCAGGTTGCAGATGATGGTACCCTCGGGCATCTGGCTCAGGGGCATCACGTTGCCGATCTGGAGGGTGGCCTTGCGGCCGCAGTACACGAACTGGCCGGTGTGCATGCCCTCGGGGGCGATGAACAGCTCCTTGCGGATCTTGTAGCGGTAGGGGTCGCGGAAGTGGACGACGGCCAGAGGGGCGCCACGGCCGGGATCGTGGATGATGTCCTGCAACATGAAGGACAGCATTGGTTAGTTACAGTTCAAAGACAAGTAAGCCAGGGGAGCCGGATAACTTCGTGAATCTATTTCGAAACAGGTAGTAAGCTGGCACAGGTGGTTTAGCAAGGTTTAAAGCGAGAAGAGTCTTGAAGGTGGCAGACAGTGAGTCGCGGCAAATGCATGTGATTCCTTGCACATTGAGTAGATGGGTAATGGGCCATCCCAGGAGCACACTACTCACCTTGACAACTCCGCGGATGTAGCCGGAACGCTCGGCGAAGTCCAGGGAACGCAGCTTGGCGGCTCCCTTGCGCTTCTTCACGTGCGCCTTGAACACGGAACCAGCTCCCTTACGCTGTGCACGAATAACGCGACCCATTGCTGCAAGACAAATTCACGGGATTAGTACACCATGTTGCAAACTCGGATTCACTAAGTAAGATGGCCATTCAACGCTCTTCCACAGAAACACGCTATGAAAATATTTGTCTTGGTCGACCATTTCGTGAGAAAATTGAAATATTCCATGTTTCGCGGTTATAGTGTTAAATTGCGCACTGTAAACAACTTCCGCAACTGAAAACACCACCAAATAGACAAAATTTAGCACGTGGCTTACCGTAAAATTAAAATTTGCCCAATACGACCTCTCCGGAAACGGGGCGAAAAGAAAAGAAAAGAAGAAGAGGTCCTAGAGGTGGGCAGAGAATAGTGTGGCTGCGTTCGGCGTCTAGCGTCGCGACTATCGCGCTGCTGGAGAACAAGCTGTTTCCCACTGTTATTTTGATTAGTCGCCAACTATTATATTATTAATTTGTTTATTGAATTTTGCTAAACTGTATATTGTTTTATTTATTTCAATCGATTGTTGGAAGTTTCAGCAATCAGTAGCTTGGGATTGCTCCATATTCAAGATCGTGGGGGACTCTAAAAGCGAGACAGTACAGGTTTGTTTTCAATCGCTGAAATCTGCATGCCTCCTGCATCTTAAAATATTTTGTTAAAAGTTTTATTGCAATTTAAATTTGTTTTGATACAAAAAATTGCCTAAATTTGTTCCATTCGAATCTTTTAAAAGTTTATTATTAAGATTAAAGAAATTATAAAATTTATTAATAATACAATTAGTTATTAAAAGAGTTAAGGCTGATCTGGAAAATATTGCCGTGCGCTTGCCAATTGCTTGCGTTTAGGTTGAGAAGAAAATATAGAATGCAAAGAAATCGGTGGAAATATTGCAAACCCAAAAGCACTCTGTTAAGGAAGATATTTTGTGCTGTTAAACGCAATGGGTTGATTCCACTAGTACACATTTTTTAAACGGCCCTTCATTAACATACATAATCTTAAATTAACTATTTGGGTTTGCATAGATCGTTTAAAATAGTAATATTAATATGTTAACCTAAAGAAATTAAAAACCTAAATACAAATTATTTTTCTCAGTCCAACCATAATTCTTATTGGAATCAGTGCATGTAGAATCTAATATTATTGTTTACAGCTGTTAATTGCAGCTCTGCAAAATACCAATATACGGGCACACGAATTGCCTATGTACGGTTCGATATATTTTAGGTATGTGCGCAAATATGAGAACGGTATTCGAAGGGTATTTTCCAGTTGCCGATGGTATAAGCAGCCATCAGCTAATTGGTCACACTGTTGGAATCCGTCGGGGTTTTGGCGTCGCGTTAAACGGAAAACCGTTCTGATTTTCACTGAACTTGGGAAATTGAACTGTTCAGCTGGTTGTGCGATGCAAAGGCGATAGGCGCCCATCGCTGTGCGTGAAGAGTACGTATTCGCAGTGCGCCAGTGAAAATCGCGAGTCCTGCGCGAAAACGCAAAACGGAATCGGGAGGAAAAAGCGAGTGGCAGATTTTTTCTGTCTACCTACACAAACACATACGCAGGCTGCTGCGCTGGTGTGGGTGTGTGTGTGAGGCTGGTCCATCGGAGCGCCGCAAAAAAAATTGAAATTGTGCAGTGTGTGCGAAGAAGCAGATGAATCGACAGTGATTAATAAATGATTAAAGGGCGACAAAAGATTTTAAAAAGTGCTGGGAAATTAAAAGAGCCGCGCCCCGTTTGCCAAACGTTAACTAACACACACGAACACTTCGTCACTAAACACACACACGCACGCAGAGGCAGAGCAGTGAGAAAGAGAGATGGAGAGAGAGATAGAGAGCGAGAAGAAGAGCGGAGAAGCAAAAAGAGAAAAGTTGTATGACAGCAACAAATAGTTTGTTAATTGCACTGGTTTTTTATTGTGGCATTTGTCATTTAGAGCCTATAAAGCTAAAATCGCAGTAAATCCTTTGGCCGCTCCTTCTCCGCTCTTTTTCTCTCCCTGTTGTTTTGTCCCCCCCATTCCGTTCGCCGACTCATTTGCATTTCTCCTCTCTCCACCTCTTTCTGCGTGCGAAGAATCAGCAGCAGCAATTCTCCAGATCCAGAAGAACAACATAAAATAGCAAATCAAAATGGCGCACCAGCAGCAACAACAACTGGCTCCATCGGTCAACTGTTCACTGGACGATATCGATCTGACGGCCCTAAAAGTGAGTCAATAAGCTGCGGCTTATCCATCTCGAATGGAAATGGAATACGACTAGAAATAGAACTAGCAGTGGAGCCCCCGAAAATAGAGCCCCCATTATGCCCATGCCCCCTCCCCAACTTTATTCATTAACACGCCTCGCCCGATTAACGTGAAAGTGACCGCCCCATGATTTTTCTCCCAGGTGTGGTCGTTAACACTCCAATTTCCGTTTTTAGTTCGTCGGTTCGGCGACTATTGGATTTCACAAACTATTCACACTAACTGAAAGGTTCCACAATTCGATTAGTTTTGTACATATGTATATTCAATCAAAACGTTGTATGAAGCAACCAGTATGAAATCAGTTTTTTTTCTTGATTTTTTTGCTTTAAGAAGTATAATTTTTAATCTGAAAGCGCCTGCATTATGAATAATAAAGTGAGAAGTTTCGTAAAGAACCCTCCTTTCTTACGACTTCGTTCCAAAAATACCCCAGAATATCTTACCCAACTCGATTGGCCTTTCCAGTCGTCAAACCCTTGAAGGTTTCCCCCGCACAATTATGCAAATTGTTTAAAAGTACAACACAAGCGAACATTTTCTTTGTGTTCGGCCTTTTTTGCACTTTGCCATGGCAACGAAATAAGGTTTTTTTTTGGATTTCTATTCTCCCCCTTGGAAGCAATCACAATAATAATCGAGTTGATAAATGCACATTGGCATTTCGATTTCATTGCCTGATAGAAAACCACCCAACTTGGCACCACCCACCCTGTAGGTTTTGTATGTGTGCGAGTGGTGTGCGCAACTTTTGACCGGCCGGTGTCACCTTCTCCGCTTTGGCAAGCTATTTTTTGTTTCGCTTCGTTTCTCAATGAATTTGTCGAGTCTTAACCCCCTTTCGACCGCCTTAGCGCCCCCCTTTAACCCCCCTGTGGCCGCACGCACTGCCGCATGCGTTTGTTGCCTTTCTCTTTCACCAAACACTCACCACTCTCACCACTCTCGGTGGCGGAACGGAACTCACCACGCCCGCCGGCCCCACGTTGGGCGCCATCTCTTTTGCTTTGCGCACCCACCAAAAGTTCAGTTTGGCACGAGTGTGTGTGTGTGTGAGTGTCCGTTTGTTGACTCTGCCTGGATGTGGGGGGTGCTTGGGGGGTCGAT